AAAAAAAAAAAAAAAAAAAAAAAGAAATCCCATCTCTACTAAAACACAAAAAAACCCTGTCTCTACTAAAATACAAAAAATAATTTTTTGTATTTTAGTAAAGACGGGGTTTTACCATGTTGGCCAGGATGGTCTTGATCTCTTGGCCTCATGATTTGCCTGCCTCGGCCTCCCAAAGTGCCGGGATTACAGGCCTGAGCCACTGTGCCTGGCTAAAGTGGTAAGTGTCTTCCAAGGTTATTTAACTGGTCAGTGGTACGGCTGAGCTTAGAACCAGGCAATCCAATTCCCTTTGCCCGATTTTGCATGATCAAACTCTCCTTTACAGGTAGAAAAAATAAGTCCTGGAGAAGTGATGTGATTTGCCCAAAATCAGGGAAAGAGCCCAGCCCAGATTACTGGATTCTTTCCATTGTGTTACATTATCTGGTTGCCGGATGCTGATCTAGGGAATTGACACCTTAGGAACTTCAAAACACAGTCACAGAAAATCTTCCTGTAGGCCTTTTGGGTTACAGCAAGATTCAGAGCCTCTCAGAACCATGGCCTCAGCAGTGCGTCTCCCCTCCATACCTGAGTGCTGCCTGTCCATTTTTTCCCACCCCACTGTCTGTCTTAAAGGAAATAGCAGTTAAGCACTCACATGCAGACAGGGAGGAAGTCGGGCAACCCCAGTGCGTGTTCAGCCACGGCCAGTCACGGTGAGGACCATGAAGCATTGAGAGCAACAGAAAGGACGTGAGAGAAGGGAAGGAAAGTACCTGAAGAAGGAGAGAATACTGGGGAAAAGCTGCAGAAAAAAGCCGTGGAGAGGGAGACGATGCCCCGAAGAAGGGAACTGGGAATTGCCTGGTCTCCAAAGGTGAAAGAGCACCAAATGCCCTGGGCTGATCTCCCACTTTAGTTTTCTTCCTTCCTTCCTTCCTTCCTTTTTCTTTCTTTCTTTCTTTCTTTTCTTTCTTTCTTTCTTTCTTTCTTTCTTTCTTTCTTTCTTTCTTTCTTTCTTTCTTTCTTTCTTTCTT